GGCGGGGCGGGGAGGGCCCCAAAATTTTTTTTGGTTGGGGGGGTTCTTCCCAAACGGGACCCCGGTGGGCGCGGGGGGGGGGGGGGGCGTGTTTGATGATGTGTGTGTTTGTAGATGGTGCGTTTGGATTTTGTTTGCTTCGCTTCGCGAGATGCTCCGCAATACCCCGCAATGTTCTTCTCTTCTGTTGACGCCAGGTGGACGGAGCGCTAGAGGATTTTTGGCGTAGTCTTAGGCCAGCAGGACCCGACCTCTCCAAAGGGTGGATCGCAGTGAGCTTCTTCATGCGAAGAGTGAGTGAGAGTGAGTGACTTTTGGAGTCCTACGAGGTCAGGGTGTGAAAGGGGAGTGCTCACGGCTCGACGCGACTGGTGTTGTCTCCCGAAGAAGCACGCTTGTTCCGTTGTTGGATATGTATCCTTGACCGCCGCGTCCTTGACAAAAGGCGGGCAACTGATCCCCCCTCTCCCATCAGACACCACAGCCCCGACGACGTATTGCATCGCTTCCTTCCGGGGAGGGTGTTGTCTACCGTATGTAAACAGACGCACACGTCGGTTCGGCCTTGACGGTCAAGGTTCCTTCGTTGTTGTCAACGTGTCGATCGATTGGTCCTTCTATATTTTTCCAACTGCCCTCCCCGCGCCCCGCACACCCGGACCGAACCGCCCCTTCTTCCTCGCTCTCTCTCTCTCTCATTCGCGTGCGTGGGGTTACTCGCGCATTGCATTCGCCACAACAAACGAACGGACGTGTTTTTTTTTTTTTATCGTCACACCCAGGAGAAGAAGTCGTTCGGGCTGTTTCTTAAGGAGGAGAAGGTGGTGTGGGAGCAGTGGGTGGTGCCCGTGCTGGTGAACACCTCGCCGCGTCCCACGGAAGCCGACGATACTTCAGGTGCGATGGGGAGAAAGGAAATTATTTGCTTCGTATTGTACAAACCACTTTTTTATTCTGTCATGGCTTGTTTCCAAGTCCACCGGTCTTGTTTATTCCATCCGTTTTTCTGTACGACTCCAGCACATTCCCGTCGGCTACTGTGGGTGTATCTCGAAGGGGTAGTCTGTCCGTGTGTTTACCTATAATCTGAAAGAAACCAAATAAATAGGGGAAGTTGCTACTTTATTTTGCCTCTTAGCAGCTTGTTTCCAACTCCACCGATATCGTTTACAGGCACGATCGGTGGAGTTGGAAAACAAGCTACGAGAGACTGGATGAACACCAACCTCCTACCCACTCAACAGAAGTATCTTGTTTGTGTGTGTACTCGGCAGGATACAATTCTCCGAGATCTCCGAGGGGGTTACGCAGATGAGATAGATATGGGTATGATAGACAGACTTGGTGCAGCAGGCTTTGCCTCTTCTTGCTCACGTCTGTCACTCGTTAAACTTTCTAATAATCAAGGAACTTGAGTCACTCCTTTGTGCAACACGCTCTCGACAAGAGCCCGCGAGCGTGATAACATAGTACACGCGCCGACACCCCAAACACGATATCGTGGAGTCAGCTGACGTCGGTAGGGAAAGGTTCGGGAGGTGGGCACCGGAATACAAGGACAGCAGCAGGGCGGTTTTTGCTCGCGCTCGTCAAGGAGATCCAGGGAACAGGGTTTGGAATACAAGGGCAGCAGCTGCAGGGCGGTTTTTGCCTGCGCGTGCCAAGGAGATCCACGGAAAGCATTTGGAACACAAGGGCAGCAGCAGCCGGGCGGTTATTGCCAGCGCGCGTCAAGGAGATCCAGCTACAAAACAATACAGCAGTAGGCAAGTAGGAGACACATTGTGCCGCGTTTTATTTTTTTTGCGGCGTAATTTGGCGGAGGAAGAAGAGAAGAGATGGCGAGGGAGAAGGACGTGATGACGGAGAGGGAATATGGGCATCTATCGGAGAAGAATGATGCACCGGCAAGAGTAATGGCTGCCGGGAGAACGTCTACCTGGGCAGCTGGTGGAGCTGGTCTCGGTACACAACGGGTGAGCATGATGAATGACGGAAATTGTGCGTTGAGCGGCTACAGCAGCAGTCGCATACCGCCCAAAATCCCGAAAGATTCGGCGAAGGCCGTGAACTGGCTGCGGAGATTGCGGATTTTCCTGGCTAGCGAGGGTTTGGAGCAGACGCTTGAAGACACCTATCCCACTGGCTATGTTCCTGTCATCAGCTGTTTGGATTGCATATATCTGAACCGGGTTCATGGTGCGGCGCTCGTTACGGCACACAAGCGGGCGTGGGCATATCTGTTGGAAGCAACCTGCGGCACGGACATTGAAGAGCGGTTGGCTGCTTGCGACTGCGTCCCTGAGGCGTGGAGGGTGATCCGCGAATGGGTTTTGCCTACTTTCGACGCCGAGAAGACATTGCTTGTGCGACGGTTGGAGGCAGTTGAGATGTCCCCTGGCGAGAACCCGAAGCTTTTCTTTGCCAGAGTTGATGGCATCATCAACATCATGCGAGCTGTCGGCATTGAAAAATCCGAGCGGGAAATCGTCCACATCATTGTTCGCCAGCTTGCGCCCGAGTACGATGTCGAACGCAAGTCTATCCTGGCCGACCCCACCATTCGCCGAGCGAAAGTGGGAAAACTTGTTCGCACGGCATACGCTAACAACGTCGAGATCAAGGAATTGGGCAAATCGAAGGCGGTCGGTGGTTTGGGGTGCGGTCATGGCGGCGTCGGTCAGAAGGGGAAACAACGGCGGCGGCAGCAGCAGCAGCAGCAACAACAGTGGGTTCATCCACAACCACCACCTGTACACCACCAACCTCCTAATTTCCCGACGTGGGGATCTGGGGGGCTCTATGACTGTGGGCGCAACGCCGTGTACCCGCAAGAGGAGTCAGCTCCGCCGCCAGGCGCTCCGATGGGTGCCGTTCATCAGTGCGTGAGGTGCGGGAGGCATGGACACTCACTCGGCGACTGCAATGCGCCACGACGCTTTGAAGGCCACTGCACTGCCTGCGGTGAGTATGGTCATCGGCGCCGCATGTGTTGCACAACCGGCCGCATGCAACAGCACGTGCATGTCGGTGATGGAGAGGGTCTCAACGCGAGTGGCAACGACACTATGCCGTACCAGCAGCGGAAGCGACGACGCCGGAGGAGGCACAGGCACAGGCATCAGCCGGAG